GAGAGGTCTGCCATGCCATGTGGATCACCTCTGGGGTGGGGATCGAATTCGTGCTGCAGGGGCTTCAGAGAGCTTCATAATGTGGTGCTTTAACACATTGTGCCACCAAGGAGGGCCACTGTTAAGGTATCTTTTTGATATGACTCTGGTCATGGGTGTGAGATGATACCTTATTGTGGCTTTGGCCTGCATCTACCTTATTAAAAGCAATGATAAACATTTTTTGTATGTATCTATTGCCTTCTAAATATCCTTTTTGGTGAATTGTCAGTTTAGATCTGCTACCTCTTTATTAACTGGGTTTTGTTTTATTTTTTATAATTTGTCTTATAATAGTTTATTTTTACATCATTTTGTGCATTTTCCCATCTCAGTTGTAATCCCCTTGGGCTTCCCATCACCAGATCACCTATGTGCCATTACCATAGTCCACTGCATTTCGCTACCCCCACTATTTTTGTTCCCATTCCCCATCCCACCCCCAGAAAAAGTCTCTGGTATATAGCTGTTCATTATTATTATTATTATTATTTTCTTGCTTGGTCAGTTATACTCCTGCTATGAGTGAAATCATCCGGTATTTTTCCTTTTCTTTCTGGCTTATTTCACTAAGCATGATCTTTGCAGCATCCATGTTGCTGCAAAAGGCATGTGTTTATTTTTTTGTTGTTGTTGCTGAGTAATACTCTTGTGTATACATACCACATTTTTTTAACCCAGTTATCCACTTTTGGGCATTTGGGCTGTTTCCATGTCTTTCCAATTGTGAATAAAGCAGCAATAAACATTGCGGTGCAGGTGTCTTTTTGAATCAGTGTTTTTTTGTCTTTTGGGTAGATAACCTAGGAATGGGATTGCTGGGTCATATGGAAGCTCCATGTTTAGCAGTTTGAGGAACCTCCAAACCTTTTTCCATAGTGGTTGTACTAGTTTGCATTCCCACCAGCAGTGCAGGAGAGTTCCTTTTTCTCCACATCCTTGCCAACATTTGTTGTTGCTAGTTATTTTAAAATGTGCCATTCTCACTGGTGTGAGGTGGTATCAATTTGCATCTCCCTTATTACAAATGATGTTGAACCTTTTTTCATATGCTTGTTGGCCACCTGCATTTCCTTTTTGGAGAAGAGACTTTTTAGCTCTTGTTTATTTTTGTTGAGTTTCATCAGTTCTTTGTATGTCTTTGTGATCAATCCTTTATCACTAGTATTGTGTGAGAAAAATTTTTTCCCAATCAGTGGAATGTCTGTTTTTTTAATGTCTTTTTTTGCTGTACAGCAGCTCTAACTTGATTTAGTCCCATCTGTTTATCCTTTCCTTCACTGTCATTGTGTTGGTTGCTGTATTAAAGATGTTACTGAGGTGTATGTTGTATAATGTTTTGCCCATCTTTACTTCCAGATATCTTATGGTTTCCATTCTTATAGGTCTTTAATCCACTTTGAGTTGGTTTTTGTGCATGGTGTGAAGTAGTGATCTAGTTTCATTTTTTTGCATGTAGCATCCCAGTTTCCCAGCATCATTTGTTGAGCAAACTTTCTTTGTCCCATTGTGTATTCTTTGCTCCTTTGTCAAAGATTAGCTGCCCATAAACCTGTGGGTTTTATATCTGGGTTTTCTATTTGAATCCACTGCTCTGTATGTCTGTTCTTGTTCGAGTACCATGCAGTTTTGATTATTATGGCTTTGTAGTATAGCTTAAAGTTTGGTATTGTAATGCCTCCATTCTCTTTCTTCTTAGTCATGAGAGTTTTGGCCATTTGAGGTCTTTTGTTGTTTCATATGAATCTCATCTATATTCTATTTTTTTGAAGAATGTCTTTGAGACTTATTGGGAGGGTGTTAAATCTGTATATTGTTTTTGGTAAGATGGCCGTTTTGATGATGTTAATTCTATCCAATCCATGAGCAGGGCATGTCTTTCCATTGCATGATGTCTTCTTGTATTTCTTTTAACAGTGTTTTGTAATTTTCTTTGTATAGGTCTTTTACCTCTTTTGTTAGGTTGACTCCCTATTTGATTCTTTTTGTTTTAATTGAAAAGGGGATGGTCTTTGTTTTTTTTTTTTTTCCGTTTCTTTTGATTGGTTGTGTATAGGAAGGCCTCTGATTTTTGTGTGTTGATTTTATATCCTGCTACCTTGCTAAACTGATGGTTTTGATTAGTTTCTCTGTGGAGTTTTTAGGGTTTTCCATGTAAATTAACATGCTGTCTGCAAATAAGGACAGTTTTACTTCTTCTTTCCCTACTTGGATTCCTTGTATGTCTTTTTCCTGTCTCATTGCTCTGGCTAGAACTTTCAGTATTATGTTGAAGAGCAGTGGTGATAGTGGACACCCTTGACCCTTGTCTTGTTCCTGATCTCAAAGGAAAGGCTTTCAGCTTTTCTCCATTGAGGATAATATTGGCTGTGGGTTTGTCATATATGGCTTTTATCATGTTGAGGTATGTTTCTTCTATACTGAGGATTTCGAGGGCCTTAAACATAAATGGGTGTTGAACCTTGTCTAAAGCCTTCTCCGCATCTATTGATATGATTATGTGGTTTTTATTTTTCTGTCAGTTGATGTGATGGATTACATTAATTGATTTTCTGATGTTGAACCATCCTTTTTTTTTTTATAATTTTAAAAATAAGATTTGTTTATTTATGCATACAGAACTGGGGTGCCAGCCAGAGGTGAAGGGGCAGTAAGAGGATTCACTAAAGACAGTGGGGAGCAGAGGGCAGCAGTGGATGGGTTAAGAGAGGTCTGCTGGGCCATGTGGATCACCTCTGGGGCTGGCGATCGAACTCTCACTGAAGTCGCTGGGGCTCCCTGGCAGTGCTGCACTTTAACCCATTACACCACCAGTAAGGGCCCTGTTTTCTTTCTTTCTTTCTTTCTTTCTTTTTTTTTTAATAATTTTGCACAGAGGGACTGGAGTGTTGGCTGAGGTGTGGGGATGAGAGGCCTCAATAGAGAAAGACAGGGTAGCAAAACAGGTGGATTTACTGAAATACACTGCTGAGGGCTGTATTTCAAGAGCAGCTGGTGAGAGAGGAGAGCTCTGCTGTGCCATATGTAGATTAGTCCCTGGCTGGGAATCTAACTCAGGACACATTGCTGATAGTGCTGAGACCCCCTTTGTTTTCTTTTTTTTCTTTTTTCCTAAGATTTATTTATTTATTCATACAGAACTGGGGTACAGGCCAGAGATGCGGAGGGTGAGAGGATTCACCAGGGACAGAGTGGGGAGCAGAACAGGCAGATCCACGAAGTACACTGCTGAGGGGAGCAGCGGGCGGGTCAGGAGAGGTCTGCCACGCCATGTGGATCACCTCCGGGGCAGGCAGGAATCGAACTCATGAGGAAGTGGCTTAAGCTTCTTAGTGCTGTGCTTTAACCCTCTGCGCCACCAGGGAGGGCCCCCCCCTTTGTTTTCTTTAAAAAAAAAAATTAAAATCTCACTAATAGTAACTTTCTTACTTCATTTAAAAAATTTATTTTTTAACTGTATGTTTTCTTGTTTTTTTATCTAGGTTACACAGTATCTTTCTATGCATGGGACCTACAGACTACATGTTTTACAAGAACTAATGAGTGGTTTTCCATTCCTTGGAGCTACATTAGAAACATAAATATGGTGCCAAAAGAACTCCTTGCCTTGCTCTAACTACAGTCAATTTGAACATAATATATATTGAAGAGAAGTGTGTACTGAGGCTACTCATTGTACAGAAACTCTGCGTGTAAGATCATGGACCATACTAGTAGGGAAAAGGATGAAAGACAACGGACAGCTAAACCCATGGCTCAACGGGGTACACACACTTCCCGACCATCTGGCTCTTCAGCATCATCTGGGGTTCTTATGGTGGGACCCAACTTCAGGGTTGGCAAGAAGATAGGATGTGGGAACTTCGGAGAACTCAGATTAGGTAAGAATTTAGTGGCTTTCACAAACAGCAAAGGAGCAGCAGCTGTAATAAGCTTTGGTGTATTTAGAAATAAGTAGTCTAATTTTATGAGAATTTTTTTCTTTAGGAGGACCTATTATAAGAACTTGAGAATTTGTGAAGGGAACTGTAGTCATTATCTTTTGTAAATGTTATTCAAGTCCATGTATCTTCTTGTGTGGTAAATTTAAAAATTTCCCACTACTGGTGGGATTTTATGATGTAGAACAGTCTGCATATTGGTACCAATGTAATGAAGATTTTGATTTAGTTGTTCTAAGATATAGAACTCTAAATTATTTCTGACAAAGTCTTAAATATTGTTGGTCCATGATTGTTGGTCCTTGCTTTAATTCATACTCTACTCCTGACAAGGGAAGAATAATGCTCTCTCATAATACCCAGGCTTAGCTTATAAGGATATACGTCCTGGTTGGAGAGATTTTCCTACTAATAAATATTTAGGTTTCTTCCTGCAGCCCTTCAACATCTGGAATAAGGTATATAGCTCCAGAAAGAAATTACACAATTTTATTTCCCAATCAAGGAAATAGATTATCTAATATTAGATATGAATTTATGAATGAAATCATGAATGATGTTAAATCCACTAGTTTGAAGATGTGGAATTGCAAAGAAAGTACTTTGATTATTTATATCCTTTTTTAAGGCCCTCCTGGTGAGTGGGGAAGAGAAAATGAAAATAAATGTATGATGTTGGACATCCATTCAAAGAGTGTGAAGCGGTCCCCTTTTAATCTAAAATGTTTTCCTTTTTTTTTTATAGCTAATGAAACAATGGGTTATTGTCATGAACAGGAGGAAGGAAAAATACATGATTATTGTTACCTCTACTATCTCCAGTGATTTTGAAGAAAAACTTTGACTCCCCCATAGAGAGTTTCAGGGAAACATCATTGTACTAGGCAGATATATCAGTACAGAATTGAATTTAGGGATGCTAAGAATGAATTTATTTTTACCAATAGAAGGCTGGCAGCCTGGGATTTTTAAAACCTGACTAGGATAATGAAAGCCTCTTTATATTTAGTGATGTGTTCATGTTCAGCTTAGCAAAAGCAGCAGATGCTACCGGGAACAGGAGTAAGATGTGTAATTTTACACTGTTTGACTTCCTAGCAACTCATGAGTTGCTTTAGCAGCTAGTTCAGTGAATATTCATTTATGTAATGGATTGACTTTGCCCTACCATCATAGTAGTATTTGCATTAAGTAGATTATGACATAAACATGTACAAAATTTCTCCTGAGGGGCAGTTTATTTTTGTAATGTCTCTTTTGCTGTACAGAAGCTCTTTAACTTGATGTAGTCCCATCTGTTTATCCTTTCTTTCACTATCGTTGCATTGGGTGCTGTATTGAGGTTATTGAGGTGTATGTTCCGTAGTGTTTCGCCCTTCTTTGAGGGGCAGTTTATAATGCATATAAATTCATGCATTCTCAAAACATCACGAAATTGTTTAATTTCTACAAAAGTGATCAAAAACGTTGGCCACGTAAAAGCTAGAAATCTGTTCTATTTGACCACTTAAATCTAAATTTATATCACATTATCTTTAATTTTACATGAAAATGAAAAAAAATCTACTCATTTGAAAGGATAAATCTATAGTCCATGTGTATTTTCAGAGTACCAGAATGATGTGTTTTACTTCCTCTCATGAATTTTAGGGTAATTTTGTAGTTCTCTTTATGATTTGCCTTGTAGTAAGTAGAAAGATCTTATCTTTCTTTTCAGTTGGTTTTATACTTGTGTGCTTATCATGTTTGTAAAATAATTATATTTAACAGAAACCAAAAAAGATACTTTTAGAATTATTAGACATCTTTCTAACAATAGAGTGTGTTGTAAGTCATATTTTATCATTCTCTTGCTCTTATGTGAATAAGTAGAAAATTATGTAGCCATTAGGAGGAGTAAATTAGGAACTACAAACTAAGTGTGGGTAGAGATACGATTTGACCATGCCTACCACCTACAAGGCTGTGCTTTCTTCTTTAACAGTATTCTCTCTCTCTCTCTCTCTCTCTTTCTCTTTTTTTAAAGATCTGTTTATTTATGCATGGACAAACTGGGATATTTGGCCAGAGGTAGGGGTGGTGTGAGAGGATTCCCCAGAGACAGAGTGGAGAACAGAACAGGCAGACTGACTGAAATACACTGCTGAGGGGACCAGCAGTCAAGACAGGAGGTCTCTGCTGCACTACATGGGTCACCTCCCAAGCCAGGGATCTAACTTGTTACTGCGGTTAGCTTCATAGTCACTAGGGAGGGCCCTTGATACTGTCTCTTATGTCCCTCCAACTGCAAGTGCATTTCTGTATCTGAACTTTTGCGCTTACAGTCCCTTTTGCTTGTAGACTTTTTTTTTATTTTACAACAGTTTATTTTCACATCATTTTGTACATTTTTTTTTTCCATCTCAATTGTAATCCCCGCGTGTTTCCCATCACCAAGTCCTTGCTTGTAGACTTTTTTACCCCCAAATTTTGCTTAACTGGTAGTTTCTCATCCTCAGGCTTCAACTTTACCTTCTCAAAGAAGCCTTCTGTGGTTTCTCCCCTACCCTCGTTTAAAGTAGAGTGTGAGCCCCCTAGCCTCATGCTGCCCTATCAGACTGCTTTATTTTATTCATGTTTTCTTCTTAACTGAATGTAAGTTCCTGGGTGGTTAGGGGTTTTATCTTTATTTACTGTTGTTTTGTGTGCATTGGAGATATAGATAGTAAGATGAATCATAAGGGAAGGAAAAAACTATGAGTTCTAAAGTCCAAAGGTACTTGATGTGAACTTAATATATTCCCTTGATTTCAGGCAGAAAACTTAGAAAATAAGATAATGATTAGTGTGCTAGTTTTATGTAAATTCACTCCATCATCCATTTAACAAACATTGTTTGAATGTTTCCTATCTTGCTAGACTTTGAGAAAACTACAAGGAGTAACAAGATATAGTTTCTGTCCTTAAGAGAATAATAAATCTACCCAAAGGACATAAAAACATTAACTCAAAAGGACATCTGCACCCATATGGTGTATGAAGCACAATTTATAATAGGTAAGCTATAGAAACAACCCAAATGCCCCCAAATAGGTGACTGGATCAAGAGGATAAGGTATTACTCAGCAATCAGAAAAGATAAACTCATATCATTCACAGCAACATAGATGGAGCTGGAAGGAATTATGCTCAGTGAAATAAATCAGAAAAAAAAAAGAAAAATATTGGATGGTTACACTTACAGGAGGGATATAGGGATAAACAAATAAGGGATGGGGGGAGTTAGTTATAATAAATTAAAAGCCAAAATCAACAGGCAACTATAAATCAGAGATATTCTGCAGGGAGGAGGAGGGAGAAGGATCAAACAGGTAAGAAGAGCACAAGGTACTGTGAATGGTGAGACATGGTGAATTGGGATGGGAGTTTCATGGGTATTACACCTGAGAGGAGAAAGCATACATTGTACCAAGAGTGATGTTAAAAAATGTATACAGACACACACATTTATAAAAGAGTCTTAGCCTAGTGGGAAAGAGAAAAACAAAATACAGTATAAAGTGATAAGTATAATAACTTTTATAAAACTACACTGGCAGAGAAAGTTAATGAAATTTTCATAGAGGAGGTATTAATAGAGAACACAGAAGGATTTAACACGAAAGGGGACAAGGAGGAAGACTGTCGCAGAATGCATGAAAACACTCGTATACTAGTTATATGTCCCCTTATGGGATGGGAAGTGAAAGAAAAGCAGTAGCTGAGGCTGTTAGTTAGGTTGGGATCAGACTGTTAAGTGTTTGCATGGTATTAAAGAATTTGGGTTTTACCCCTTTAGCAATGGAGTGGAATCACCTTTTACAGCAGAGGAGTGCCATGATCTGGTTTGCATTCTTAAAAGTTAATTCAGGTGGTTGTAAGAATAGATCAGAAGGGAAAGAGGTTAACATCCTGTGGATACTGCTCTAATTATCGTACTTGTCACCTCATAGTATCTTCCTTCATCTCTCTGCCTAAAGAGGCTTGATGGTAGTGATTTGTTTTGTTAATCATCATATTATCAACTCCTTTGACTGTTTGGTACTTAAGAAATATTTGTTTGACCTTTTAATTCCAGGTCAGAAATGACTAGTGCCTAAGTTCTACCTTTGAAAATAACAGTGGGAGTGAAAGGAAGGAATGAAGTAAGGAGACATTTCAGAAGTAGACTGTAGGGAGGATTTGGTCACCATCTATTTGAGAAGGTGTCAGAGATGACTGAATTTGCCAGTTTGGGGAGAAAATCTTAAATGGAGAGACAAAAAAGATAGGACTAAAGTAGGCGGAAGGGAACTTGTAAATATATTGACTTTGAGGAATGTACATCATATATCCTAGACTTGTTTAGACTTGAGGTAAAGATTAAGAAATTATCACCTTGTAGGTGTTAATGATCCCACATGCATTTAAGGGATGCTGAAAGAGGAAGAACCTGCAGAGTAGAGATTGAAGAATTAAGAGTACTGGTATTAGTAAGAAAAGTCTGAAACCTTAAGGTTAAGCAGATATCATTGGTCTTTCACATCTTTTTTTTTTAAAGATTTATTTATTTATGCATACAGAACTGGGGTACAGGCCAGAGGTACAAGGGCAGTGATAGGATTCACCAGAGACAGAGTGAGGAGCAGGACAAGCAGATCAACCAAGTACACTGCTGAGGGGAGCTGCGGGGTGGGGATCAGGAGAGATCTGCCGAGGCATGTGGTTCACCTCCAGGGTGGGGGATCGAACTTGCACTGAAGGGGCTGCTGCTTTCTTGCAGTGCTGCGTCCTAACCTGATGTGCCACCAGGGAGGGCCCCATCATTTTATTTTTAAATGAGTACATGGCACCATATGTGTGGATTAGCACACTGCCTGGGGATGGAACTCATGCCATATCAGTGATAGTGCTGAGATATAACCCATAGACCACCAGGGAGG